AATGCTGCTTATTTTCATATTCTACGGTTTGCAGCCCACTTTGTGCTATTTCTACGTGATATTATGCATCCAACACCGGATAAAGAATCAGATGATTTGATTAAGACTTACACCGAACTATTAATTGATTTCAAGCAGGTTTTATAATCTCTTTAATTTCGTTTTCTATAAGCTATCGCACGAAACTTAATAAATTGATATCTAATATACAGGATTCCATAATTGCTTTATATGCTTCAAAATTGCCTAGAGAAATGTCAATTGAAACCTATGCGTTGTTTTTGAAAAGTAATTACAATTTAGCAAAAATTAAAACCTCTCCGATGTTTATCAATGAATATATGTATTAACTTCTAAAATCATTCATATTTAGATATAACGGGAAGTTATGATGAACGGTTTAAGTTTTATAGTTTAGCTGAGCAACATGGTTTAAATGTTACAGCAATAGCTAGAAGAACATCCGATTTGATATTAGAAGAATATTTGAAAAATGTATGTACTTCATTAATACGCACTTAGTAATAATGCGCAAAATTTATTCATAAATCTCAACATTATAGGAGAGATATACGATTTCATATTCTTCCTCTCCAAGAATTGCATCTACCAATGAACCAGTTGATCCTAAGGATATAGTACTTATTCGTGGACTAGAGTGGTTGACATTCAATAAGGAGCAAGTAGTTGAAGCTATGGATCGTGCTAATGCTTTGTTTAGACGATTCCTAGGTATAAAATTATTAATTAAATCTAATTAATTAAATCTGATGATTCTCTTGAACTTATTTTCATTCATTAATTTCTAGTTTGTGGGAAATTGAATGCAGTGAATACTCTTCTGAGCTCAATGGCTAACCCTAAATCGCCTTTAGCAAGTTATAATCTTGATCAAGAAGCGGAGGGTCATGAATTAACGGTGGTTGAAGAGTATTCTTTTTATCGTACCATGTTTAATTTTTTCACCAAGGATGAAGATTGGGTAAAAATATGGATGGAAAAACCTCAGAGGTATTTTTGACATGATTTTTATTTTAGAAATTAAACATGAATGTAACAGTGTTTATCATAATTCCCAAAGTCAAACATCGTTCCCTCGAAATAGCAGTGAATGGACTTTACGCATTAAAGTAAGAATTTAATAGAATTGAGATATTTCTTAATTAAATTAAACTCTTACAAATAAATCTCTCAGGAAACCACAGATGCTTTAGATCAGCTTTTTGATCAATTTCTAAATGCTTATATGACCAATTCTGAATCTGAAGAGGATAAAATTATCACAGATGAAGGTAACAATATATATTTATTTTTTTGAATTAATTTATTGATATGAATTATATGCAAGCTATGTAATGATTTGTATCATATAGAAGAGAGAAGGATACAAGAATTGCAACGAGTGTCTGATATCTATATTCCAGAAGTTATTACTCGTTTGCATCGTGTATATTTTAAAACACGTGGCATTATTCCTGGGTTAGTAATTCGATCACGTCGTTCTTTATCTCCTAATTTTAACTAATCTACTATCAATCATATCACTTGTAAACAATCTTAGCAATTTGGATAAAAGCCTTCAACTAGCCGATCTAGTAGCCGATGAAACTCGACATCTATATGTGCATTTCCGACGTTCAAAGAAATTATCCCTATTTTTAAAGATGTTACGTAACTCTTACCTCGAGATCACAAGAGATAACCCAGATGACATTATTGTTTATTGTTAAATAATTTTTTTGGATGCGTTTATTGTTGTATAATCACATTTTTTCATACTATTGTAAGTAAACAGAATCGACTTAGATAATACTGTAATAGCAAAAATTTTTTTTTTCCTCAATTTAAAAAAACAAATTAGACAATTTCTAAAATGTTTGAAATGTTTGGTAAACGTAAATTTACTTTTGCTTTTTTTTTTGGAAATTACGATTATTTGTTAGTAAAATAATCAATGTGTGAAATATACACATTTCACTATTTCATATTATACTAACTTCAAAATCTCAATTTAATCTAAAACTGTGACGCCATTTGTTGACAGGCCTTAAGATTTTCTAGATACCATTGACATAAATTGGTATTATAATTATTTTGTTCTAAACATTTGGACAAAGCCTTTGCATCTCGTTCGCACGTTCTGTCACTAGTGGATTGGTCATCAAGTTGAAAAGATTGTTGCTAAAATGAAATTAAGATAAATATAATTGAATAATAAATTCAAATAATATAGTTTTAAAGATTAATTACTTCGTATTGAGTTTGAGGAGAATATTGCGATTGAGCATCCTGTGCAGGAGGTTCAGCCGAACTACCACCTGAGAAAAGAGAAGAGATCCCATGTCCCTATATAAATGTTATTTTAGCGAAGGTAGCTTTTAAGGCGATGTCATTGCTCATGAAATTGAATTAGCATACAATATTATGCCCGATAGCAACACCAGCTGCAGTCGAAGCCGTCTAATAATCAAACAAAAAATAAAATATTAAAATGTATAAAATGTTAATAGATTTCATGTCATTTTTTGAGAATAATACCTGTCCTAACAAGCTAGGTTGTTTTACAGCAGGAGCTGCTGGAGAAACTGCCGGAACATTGCTTGCTTGTGAGTTAGACTGAGATTTTGTTTGAGAAGCTGGGCTTGGCGTTGAACGAATAGGCAACGTAGAAGCTTGACGCTTTTGACTTGGCGCCCTGGCTGGGGTTGAACGGCTTGCTTTGCGAGGCATTAGTTGAAAATAGAAAAATTAACGTTAAAAGGATAGTCAAAAAAATTTTTGATTTAAGCTTATAATTTATATCGATATTAATTTTGATATAATTTATCGTTATCGCTATCCTGATCGACCAATCAGGGTGCAGGGTCAGGTGTAACGTGATAATCGTTTTTTTTTTTTAAATCAAAAATTTTCCTTTTTCGTTTTCGTTCTAAAATGTTCTAAAAAGAAAAAACAAGGCTACTAACCAATAAGATGCATTAATTTCAACATCATCCGCGACAAAGATTAGGGTACTGTAAATTATTGGTCTAATTTCAAACTAAGACCCTAGCATCACCACCCTAAAAAGAAGTTAGAGTTTGGAACCGACTTTAATCGGTTGTAATATATGAAAAATAAAACCGGTTCCAAATTTTATTTGGGGTATTTTTACATCTGATGAGGATCCCAGATAATACTAATAGAGGTACAATTATTAAACTGGACAAGAAATTGTAAATTTTTGACGTAGATTATATTATTAAAAAGGCTTTTTAATTGAATCTAGTATTATTAAACCGGCATTAGTAAAAAAAAAAAAGTGCTTAAAACGGACATGAGTTTATTGAAATATTATAAAAGAATCCGTATATCATATTTTTCTGAAATTTCGAAAAGTTCCGAGTAGAAAATGAAAGAACCTAAAATACGAACAAGGTTGGACAAAATTTTTTGCAAAAATTCCGAACCGTTCCGAAATAAAAAATTATAATTAAATGGGCATATAACGATAAATCAGAATTTAGAGGTATAAGACTTAAAATAGACAAAATTTGAAATCTTAAAGCGGGCAAAATGGCAAAAAATTTACTATTAACTCGTATCTTTATTAATATTATCCGGAGTCCTTTCTGATGATGCTAAGGTGGTAAGGTGAATAATCAACCAATTGGTTAGATCGGTTAGTTAGATATTATATGAACAATAGTTAACGGGTTGCAAATTTTAAAAAAAATCGATTATGATTAATAATTGTGGCAGATTAAAATGAAATGAGGGATAGTGTAAAATAGACAAGCCACCGAAAAATACAAATTTTTGGGGAGCATTTTTTTAGCATTTTTATAGGTTTAGGATTAGGGTTTAGGAACAGGTTTTATAATAAACAAGTATAAGTGGGTTTTAGAGGGTCAAATAGAAACCTTTTATTTTATTTTAATCCAATTTCATTATGATCTGTGACAATAATTAGTGATATTTGATTTTTAATTTTTTTTATATTTGTATACTATCTGTATATACATAGGTAATAAGAAAGCCAATAAGATTGCACAGTCAGGTGTAATATAAAATTATTATAAAATCATATTTCTGGTATTATAAAAAAAAATTCTTTGTGAAATTTTGGTATAATTTATTTTTTACTTGTCATCTTTAGTTTATTTTACTTTAACCTTAAGATTAATTTTTTGTTTTATATAATATCTTGATTTGTATATTATCAGATTTGCAAATTAATATTTGTAGCAGATTATAAACTGAAATTAGATTAAAATGAAATAAGAAATAGTGTAAAATAGACAAGCTATCAAAAAAATACAAATTTTTAAGATATATTTTTTTTAGCATTTTTTTATAGTTAGGATTAGGGTTTAAAAACAAGTTTTATAATAAACAAGTATATATAGAGAGTTAAATAGAAACTCTTTATTTTACAATAATAATAATAGCAACTCTTCCTAATGATTATTTGGACCAACTAGTACTGAAAACAAGTTGAAGACTCAAGGTCAGAAGTTAACAACAACTTGTAATTTTCTCGATACGAACTGTTGTCAACAAAGTCTTTACATGTGCTATACCGAGAAGTGGGCATTTTGAATGGTTTGCAAAGAGATCAAGCCTTCTTCTAAGTTTTCTTAGGTAGACTCCTTTTTGCATTTGGTATCCAAACCGGAGGAGTCTCTAGGAACAGCAAATAGAAAAAAAACTCAAGAAGTTTGGAGATGGAAAGATACAATGAACTCTTGGAAAAACTCTCTTTAGTTGAAAACTCACAAAACCAAAACTTTCTTTGCCGTTTTGATACTTCTAAACCTAATTTTTGACAAAAAGTAGAGATTTGACTATCTCCTGTCAAAAGATCAGTATTGTTTACCACTTTCATATTCGGTGACTCTGTAACATAAACACAACAAACATATGGTTATATATGAAGTAATTTATTCCTTATTTGAGAACATGGCCCCAGTACATTGAGAACTCAGAAGGTTTTTAAGAACTTATACACCAATTAGACGAGATGAGACCGAGAAAACATGTGAAGTCGATACATTTGTTATATTTTGGAATAGAATATAGATTTAAAGTTGGGGTAATAAAGAAAATTTGAGATATGCAGTCTAATGATAAAGTCGTGTGCATATAATTTTTAGCCCTTAGTACAAGTTAAAGTGCATCTAGCTTAGTTTTCTTCTATATGTTAGCTAAGTTCTATATAATTACTATGATCAAGTAGATAAGTATCCTGGTTAGCAGGTATCAATTTGTTAAATGGGTTTTTTAGTTTTATAATTAGTACTTTAGATTCCTTTTATTAGTTTAGTTGCTTTCTTATTTATTTTCTTTCAAAACTATCTCCTTTCTTATAATTCCCCTTACCCTATTTGATCTTTGGTTTTTTTTTGTTAGGAAATGTTTTTTCAGATTGGTAATATATTATATAGGGCAATGATTCTGACTAGGGTACAAGAAAAAAAGCCCGATTGATTTCGGAATTTTTAAAGGCTGTAAAAATAGTGTTCCACAATTAATATCTAGGCCGAAATTACGTATGCAATTAGTATGATAA